TTTTTTTTTTTTTTTTTGAGAAACAAATGCATCTGGCACTGGAAAATATACATTTGCGTGTGTGTTTTAAAGAATTGAGAAGTTCATTTCTGAAATAGTTTCTAGGTGTTCCTAGCTTTCACAAAAGGAGCTTGTTTGAATGCTATTGTAATTTGATTTTTGTCTCTGCCTACCCTTAAAATCAATACAGGTAACATCCTTAAAGTTGAGGCTTCAGAAACTTCAGAAGAAAGCAATTGAGGATGACGATTATGACAAAGGTGAGTTTTAACTCGTTTGTTGACTATTTCCTCTCTGCCCCTTTCCTCCCCTTCCTTCCTCACCTCTGCCTTTACTCCTGGTGAATTGTACAGTCTGCTTCTCCGATGTCCCTCTTTGGCAGCGGCTGACCAGCTCACCTGACAGTATTGTTATTTGCAGATGTCAAATCACTTTATGAGCATTAATCCTTTGGAACACAGATATGTCCGGAAATAGGTAGTGTACTTACACAATAAGGCACTGACTTGTCGCCTGCTGACGTATAGCATGTCTGTCATGCATTTGGTCATCAAAAATATTTGTTGGGCACCTGTGACAGGATAGGCAGTGTGGTCAGCAATCACACAGAAAGGCGGACTTGCTCTCTGCTTTTGCAGTGCCAGCCCTAGAAGCTTTAAGAAAGCTTTTTGAATTCAGACCCTTCAAGACCAGAAGTAGAAATGGGATAATTCAAGAGATGTCAGGCTGTGCCAAAGGGATCACTTGCCTTACACATCCACACGCACAGCTAGAAATACACAAGACAGGAAGGAAACGTTACATGGGACCAGAAGATAGTGGAGTTGATCAGAGGCAAGAAAAAACAATGAAAATGAGGCCCTAAAGTAGGAGTTTGGCCGGAAACAGATGGGCTGACTGGACGCAGGTAGATGGGGTTGGAGGAAGCTTCAGGTGAGGTGGGTGTGGGAAGAGTTTTAAGGACCACAGAGGCTGAGTGCAAAATCTCACACCCATCTCTTCTGGGTGTGGGGAAGAGAGAGGGCTTAGAATGACTTCTAGGCCCTCCAGACACCCTTTGGTTGACAGATGCTCCTGGTAACTATCCGATTTAAGACACCTAGGACTGGCCTGGAAATAAAGTATAGATTTGATTCTTTGGGAAGCCGGGTTGGGCTTAAGCCTCAGAGATTTAACCTTCTTGGCCCGTATTCTGGTATTTCCCATTGAAGATACTAGGGGCAGTTGAACTTGGGGCTCTCTAGGGTGATGTGATTTCCACAGGAAGTTGAATATCTTATTCAAAGGGATACACAGAGCCAGAGCTGCCTGGTCTTCTCACTGTGCATACCACTGTGGTTGGGTTTGGAGACGAATGAGGAGGTGGAAAGGAGAGAGAGAAAGAGTTATGGATTCTTTATATTCTCCTGCCCCTTTTTCTACAGGCCAATAGATTTTATGCTGGTGCTGGATGCATGGAGGTGGAGAAGGCCCTCCGTGTTGGCTGTGTGGCCCTAGGCCCAGCTGTGGATGGCACACGCAGGCAGTGTCTGGACTGGGGTTTGCCTGCTGCTTTGTGCCTGGACAAGACAGTTAAGCCTAGTCCCGAGCTACTCACTCTTGCTTGAGTTTGGTTTCTTTGCTGTGGCCCAAGCCTAAGTCCCTCCACCTTTAGCAATGTAGTGCTCATTGACATACACAAAACAGGACGCAAGAGGGAATCTGGCCCTATTTTTTTCTGAAGACCTGGTGAAATTTCTGGACTTGGTTCCTCTCCCCTTCACCCAGGGACCAAGGTTGCAAAGGATGCACACCCCAGGGAAGCCCCACCGTCACAGGCACCTTTGTGTCGTGCCCCTGTCTGTGAGCTACTGGCTGCAGAGTTCCTTGGGGGAGCCCAGCACGAGTTTGCACTAGGCTTTGGGTGGCCAGGGCACTGACGCTCAAGGACGCCCTGGTGCAGGGGTTTCTCTATGGAGGCCAGGCCCCGGAACAGCTGCGGTGGAGTGTTGTGGCAGCAGAGGGATAGGGGGTCTCTAGTCTGCCGGTGGTGCCTCTCCTGAGCCACGGGGAGTCCTCAGAGAGGGACGTACATTCTCGTGGGTGCACCGAGTCACATTCACTCTCACTGTATTTAAAATCCCCAAGCCTGCAGACTTGGTTCAGGTGAATGTCCCAAGACCCCGAGAGATCTGTGAAGTGCCTGTCCCCTGGAGCATGACACTCAGTGACCACTGGCTTCCTGGGGCAGGAGATGGCTTGCTGCCCTTTCATGGGTGGTCAGCCAGGGCAGTGAAGAGTGCTCCTGCCAGCTGACCCACTCATCTGCTGTGCCCAGGACAGGAGCAAGGAGAGGGAGAGACTTGTGCAGACTTTGGCTTATGTGAAAAATATCAGTTGACAATCTACTGTCTCTAACAGTCCTTCTCAGACTTCGTGCATATATGGATGGCCTCAACAGGTAGCTTGCTAAATTGCAGGTAGGTCCCGATTAAGTAAGTTTGGGGTGGGGCTAGAGACCCTCCATTTACTCTTTCTTTTTCTTTTTCCTGAGTGCTAGGGATTGAATACAGAGCCTTCACATTGAGCTAAATCCCTATCCCTTTTTATTTTGAGATAGGATTTTGCTAAGTTATCCAGCCTTGTGATCCTCCTGCCTCAGCCTCCCAGAATGTTGGGATTACAGGCATGTGCTACCATGCCTGGCTGATCTTCCATTTCTTATAAGCTCGCAAATGATACTCGAGTTTCTGTCCTGTGAGCCATATTGTGGGTGGCCATGGCACCTACGACAGTGAATGAGACCTCACTGCTCTGGTCTCCAGGAGGAGATAGTCCTGAGAGGTACAGCACGGATACAATAATAAAAAAACTAAACAGTATGTCCCTTCCAATAAGCAAGTCAAAGAGGGTCCCTGAGGTGAGGAGGAGAGCTAAGGGTAGGGGAATTCACAAGGACCCTGAGGGGTGACGTGCTGCCCTGGGTGGACATCTTGGGGGTCAATGGCTGGATACTGGCCACAGTCCAGGCATCTGAAATGATCTTGAGTTGTCTGAGATGGGTCTCAGCAGGGTCCAGTGCCTGGCCTGGTGATTGATTAATCTCAGAGATGGATCAAAGCTCGTTAGGAAAGGTAGCATGATGTTGAGGAGAAGCATTTCTTGTCGAGATATTGCTGACCTGCGATTTGCATACAACTTCCTTTCCCACCTAGTTTCCCCAGGGTTCCTAAAACCATTGCAGGAGTTGTTGAGATCTGTTTTTACATTCGGAGGGAACGTGCTTAGTGTTCACTGCCAGGCACATAGCTCAGCTGTGCTCTGTGCTGGGAAGGGTCGGTGGGACTTGCAGGTCTTGCCACGAGTCATTAGAGGGAAATTTATGCCTCTTGGATCTGTAGCCTGTTTCTCTTTCTTTCTACTTTCACTCATGAAAAAGGCTTAGCTTTCCAAAGAGAGAGAGATGCAATTGGACAGAGCGGAAAGTTCCTTATTTGTCTCATCCAAGTGCTGGCACCTCCACCTCTCTTTCTCTGTACTCGGATTACGGGCAGCAAAGTTAGTATTTCCTTATGTTACTGCATCCATCTGAAAGGCCTGGGAGGAAAAGAATAATACCTGTGGGTGTTTTCTCAGGATGACTCCCCAAGTCTCCATGAATTCCATCACATTAGTGCATTCTTGTCCTTTGGTCAGCTGGAGGGCAAGGATGAGACCTTGGTGTACCCTGAGAGAGAAGCTGCAGTCAGGCCCCGGGGTGCCAAGTCCGGCTTGGTGACATGGCTGGGAGGGAGAAGAGGAGAGCGTGCATGATGTAGGCCCAGTGTCTGGGCCATTCCCGCACCTGTTTGCATCTCCAGTGTCCCCTGCTTTGTCCCATGCCCACCACCAACCATACCCAGCACTTCACTTTCAGAGTGAGCAAGGCGGGGCTGTGAGGATGAAGGAGCAAAATGTGGGAATCGAGCGCTTCTGTGACATGTTCCCACGATCTATGTGGCACCCAGCTTTACCCTGCTGGCTTAGAATCGCCCTCTTGGAGTGAGAAGCAGCCAGCCTTGGATTAGTTGCCCTATCCTCAGTCTTGTTCAATATCTAATGTGACGAAATTTGAGGAATGTTTGAGGCATAGTCAGAAAGTTGATCGCAGCAGGGGCCGAGCGTGAAACACCCTTGAGGGAGACCAACTTGGCTCCACTGGCACAACCTCTGTTTTCTGAATTCTGTCTCGAGTGAGATCTCTCCCCACAGCCATGAGGAGAGTGACAGTGAACCTGGCAGCCAGCCTCACCCCCCTCTGCTTCCGTGGGGAGCAAGAAGGAGAGAACAGGACAGATGGAACCAGCCTTTTCTCTGTTCCCACAACATCCAGCATGAAAGGAAACTAGGTGCCATCTGGGGGCCTGTGGAACTGCGATGCTGCTCTCTGCTGTTGGCCTCGCGTTGCTTTCTGACTTAAAACTGGATACCTTTGGAATCTCCTCAGAGGGCAGGCGGGCCCAGCAGGACCATCACTACACCTGCAGACAACAGAGCAGCCTGGCCCAAGCGTGAGAGGTGAACAGCTGCTGTCTGTGGCTGCCGGGGCTCTGGCACAGGGCAGGTCCCGCCTTCCTCCACAGAGGCTCTCTCCCCGTGAGGCCATGCTGTGAGGGAAGCTTGCTTGTCCCCTTGTCATGGGATGACATGGCTTCCACTGTCACGTGATTCAAATCTCAAGTGGGAGTCACAGACTCACAGTAAGGATCCTTTTATTCTGTATTTTCATAACTTAGGTTGAGATTTGCAAATATTTGCTGTTATATTATAGTTGACTGTGCCTTGTTATCAAATTGCCTACTGCAGTGAGCACAGTAACATGCTACACAGATTTTTTTCCTCAGTGTTTTTCTTCTTTTGTGGATTTACATTAAACACGGTATGGAGATATTTGGACTCAAAGGTTAAAAGAGTACCCTCGGGCATTTATTCTTCTTAAAGGAAAAAAATGTGGTCATGGTTTCAATTTACAGATGGGAGTTTAAAATATTTTTCCTAGTAGTTTATAACCTTTAAAACTACCAGCTGACTCTTTCTTGAGCAAAAAGTTCTGAAAATTTTTACATTGCATACAACTTTTACAGTGAGCTTCTCTACCTAGTATTCTTAAGTAAAATCTTAGGTGTGGAGAGAGTGACTAAAATTGCAGAAATTCTAACAGTAATAAAGCTAACAATAGCAATAGCAGCAATTCCTAAAATTAATAACCTATTGGGTCTGCTTTGAAGATCATTCTCAAAGG